ACTGGCTCCCTCTTCGTGGTCGTTGCACCTTCACAATGCGGACACAAGCATAGAATTTGTTTGATGACGTTTAATGATTTGGGCCTTCGCCAGTGTGTGTGTGTGTGTAGGGGGGGGGGGGGAGAGCGGAGGGGGTTCTAGATCTTGTTAAGCTTGAACAAGGGTTGTCGCTCAAAGTTTGCGTCGCTCATTTTATTATTCACGTGTGGATGAGCTCGCATGTTATACAAAAGAGCAGCAGCTCTAGGATTTGAAACGGATCGAGTGTAGTATCCATTAGCGGAAGAGATCGCCCCGACCACTTCTCAACTCGAAACATTGCTTGTCACAAGGAAATACTTCAAGTGCCTTTGTTATATTCTGCATCACCTTTAGGCAATCTTCGGTTCTGGTTCTCCTACGGGCTGTGAGTAGGTACCTAAGCAGGATTTTTTAATTTTTTTTTATTTCTGTGTGTGTGCGTGAGGGGGATAGTTTGAACGAAGGACTCACAAAGCTACATTCTGCTGCTCAACTTTGCCCTGAATGGCCTTTGTCACGCACTGTGGCTTCCCTGGGGCTTCCCACTCCCGGTCCCAGCTCGAAAAAAAAAAACGGACATTCCACAAAAACTGTACATAGAAAGAGATTGACCTCGTTCCCTACAGCTCCGCAAAAATCTTACTTTTTTTCCGTTCGAAAAAAAAAAAAGCAAATTTTATTTTTGTCATTTTATAAAAAAAAGGCGTGTGCCGGGGGGGGGGGGGGGCGTGGACAAATTGTAACGGTTACAAGTAATTTTATTACTTCAAAAAGTAATCAGATTACTCTTGTGATTACTGCCTAACAAAAGTAATCAACTGATTACAAAATTACTCCAAAAAGTAATCGATTACAAGTAATTTGATTACTTGTAATGCGTACGGTACAATTCTGCCGTGGACCTTCAGCTTGCTTTCGCGTTCCGGGCTCCGAGAGCTTAGCAACAACCGCGCAGTGGTCACTTATGCCCGAAAGTACAGTGACCTCAGATACAACGACAAGAAAATTGCATAAAATTAAATCCAAGACAGAATTCTCTCTCGTCGGTTTTTTAACATATTGTTCGAATCCAAAGACACCGATTATGTCAGCAAATATCGAGTATGCGCGGGGTCCATCTGTAGCAAGAACTTCATCAGACCAATTGAACCCTGGTAGATTAAAGTCTCCTCCCAAGAATACACTATCTGGTATTGTCGTCAACAAGTCACCCAGTTTATCTATCGAGTACGCATCACTATCTGGGGGGCGATAAAATGTACCAAAAACTAAAGTGGTCCCCTTAGGTAAAACTACACGACACCATACAGACTCAGTGTCGTTTTCGGAATTCGCCTAGTTGAAAGAGGCGAAGGACCAAGAGTGTCCAAAAAAACCACATAATCATAAAAAACACTCCGTCCAATGTGGCGATCGTAGACAATTGAGAGCCCAGAAATTATGAAAACAAGTAAATTTGTGTAGCTTATGTGTCACGTGGCAGCGGAGGATTGAGGATTGGAATTTTTTGACGAGGACCTGATCCTGAGCATTTTGGAAAGGAACAGCGGCAAAAACTTTGGTCAAGGGTGAAAAAAAAACACACGTCAGGACGGCACTGCGTGTTTTTTGACCCTTGCCTAAGTTTTTTGTCGCTGTTCCTTGCCAAGACGTTCACTTGAAACCAACTAGCCCAATACGTCGCATAACTAAACCTGGGGGTAGGCAAGTCGGCACTTTGACTAACATATAATAAAACCACAATTCTTTTACAGCATTAGTAATAAAGCGTATCTTCGTGACACGTTTCAAACAAGAAGTAAACTATAGCACAGAATTATTTGTACCATTCTCTAGATTTTATTACTCACCCGCGTCGGCATACACAACAACATGTGTCAGCGTGGTATTTCCCAGGGGTATTGCATGAGCTGGATACAAAACTTGTTTTTCTACCCTATCGCCAGGTCTCTAGAATCAAAAACAGTCTCTCCACATCCGCGTCTCAAACTCCTCCACCCGAATATAATTCACGGGATTTCCGCAATAGCCACTCAGCCGAGTTTTCACAATCACGAGATCTACACTCGTCGGCGACAACACACAGCTGGCTTCTTGCCAGGCAGCAGCGGTGCAGTCATTCTCACTCCACCGGTTTTGTCAAAATAAGGATATCTCCAATTGAGGTCGAAAAAGCACCGTTTGCTGTTTGTCCGGCACAACCAAGCGTAGCGTCTTTCGCTTTGGGTAGCATAAATACGCGCGACGACAACACGCAGCTGACGAAGCGACGTGGGCTGGTGAACGCACGTGTTCTCCCGTTCACTAAAGTATTACAGAGGCCTCAATTGCTATGCGTCCAACTTTGTTGAATGTCTCCCTTGTAAATGGCCCAGTTTCTAATGTAAAAGAGTACAAAGCACAATAACAATGCCACACCTCTAGCCCACGTTACCACTGTACGGCGAGTTTCCAATGAACTGTCTGAAGGGACCCCGTACCTTTTGACATGGAGGTCAAATAAAATGAGCAACTGGGCCTGTTTTTTTTTTTATTATTCGTGTAGTTTAGGTACGTTTACCAATCCCTGGTGTGGCGTCTTTTTGCCGTAGTTTTTCTAATTTTTCTCCCAGAAACACTTATAAGGCGCGCTAATCATTCTCGCCCATTGAAAAGTAAACAAAATGCAGGCCAACCGAAGGTACTCCAGTGTCCAGGAAGTTCCGTCATTGCTTCTTTATGCTTAACTAAAAATGCCACGTCTACCAATTGATCTATTCTATACGTCGCTTGCTGAGAGCTCGAGTTCATAAGCAGTTGCCAACATTAAATCTTAATATTATTGCAAAAGCACTGTGACTGCAAGGAATCCCAGATCAATCATACTTTTACAAAAATGCTTGTCTGAAAGCAGTATTCGAATGCTCTGCATAAATCATTAGTAATTAAAGCACTCGAAGTAAAATGCCCCCAAAAATATTGCGAACTGCTAACTCAGCCATCCAAAGTTGCAAACATTGCGCTGTATTGACAGCACAGTGTAACCTTAGATTGTTATAGTATGCAGTTTAGGAGACATGTTTTTCCTAAGGAGCTTACTATTTAGATTTGCAAGAATTGATTATTTAAAGCGTAGTTAGAGAGAAAACGATGTTGGTCAATAACAGTCACGACTAGCACAACGACGGCTACGAAAGTAAAGAAAAAAAAAAGAAACAATTGAATTCAAGTAGCTACTTTTATCAAGTAAAACTTTGAGGCCGCACATGTCATACTCAAAACAGTACAAAAGAGAAGAGTGGTTGTCTGGGCGAGTTGGTTTGACATCTTATACAATCGTGTGCGCAACAAAGACGAGGACAAAAGCAGAGAAGAGGACACAACAAGGCGCAACTTTCAACTGAATTTTATTGAAAACGTGTTCCGGTATATATATAGTCTCAACCATCGTTACAATGACAACAAAAAAAAAAAAACACAAAAGTATAGGAAGTATAGTTTTTCTTCCTATACTTTTGTGTTTTTTTTTGTTGTCATTGTAACGATGGTTGAGACTATATATATACCGGAACACGTTTTCAATAAAATTCAGTTGAAAGTTGCGCCTTGTTGTGTCCTCTTCTCTGCTTTTGTCCTCGTCTTTGTTGCGCACACGATTGTATAAGTACAAAAGAGGCCACGAAGATAAACTTCCGTGCCCACAATAAAACGTTTTTTCGCTCCCCCCCCCCCCCCCCCTTGCTTCTTTCGCCCATCCCGCTGGGTATTTCCCACGTAGTGATCACTTTACCGCAACGCATATCTAATAAGCGACAAAAAAAAAATTTAAATGGGGCAGATATCACTTCTTCATAGACTTCAAAGAGTTCATAGACTGCGTAAGAAAAGTTGAGAGAGGTATAGGTCAGAAAAATTAAAGACGTTGACAAATCTCTGCAATGCCAAATTAGAGCGCAGCTCTTGAGGAGGAGGTGGGGAGAGTACGAAGGGGTAAGTATACCCCTTCTCCTCCGAACTCTCCCCTCGTCCTTCCCTCCTCCTCACGTCCTCTGCTCGGGCTTCCTCCTCTCCTTCTTTCCTCCTCATCATCCTCCCCTCCTCCCGTCCTCCTCCTGCCCTACTCCTCCTCCTCTCCCCTCCTCCTTCTCCTACCCTCCCTCTCCTGCGTATCCTCCGTACCCTCCCCTCTCCCTCCTTGATACACTCCCCTCCTCCCACAGTTTCCCCTATAAATTTAGCTTGAAAATTGACGCCACGTGACCTCAACACCAATTCAGTGTCCCCGCTAAATTTAGCAGGGAAAATGACGTCACATGACTTAGTGTCACGTCACCCACAAATGCATTCAGTTTCTTCGTTAGATTTAGCGTGGAAATTGACGTCGCGTGACACCACCAATTCAATTTTCCGGTAAATTTAGGGGGGCGGTTACGACGACGCCGACGCCGACGCCGACGTCGACGTCCATGCCGATTACGGCGGCTACGCTGCTCAACTCGGAAACGGGCGCATAAGAGCTGGCTCTAAAAAGTTGAGGCATAAACAAGAATGTTGAAGATATTGTATAATTTGTTAACGCAGTTTTTTTTTTTTAATATCGATTTGGCAATACTGCAAGCCCAGTCGGAGCCCAGGTCGGAGAAGTTGAATCTGAATTGTTTCCGATGTTTCTGTAGCGAGTCCAGTTAAAATCAAACATATTATTTTTGTCGGGGTATCTGATCGGTGATATTTGTTACAAATAAATCTTGCTGCTGGTCGAACTTTTCTATTTATCTGGCATTATTTTGCTTGCGTGGATCCCAAAGCGCACAATACACTAACTGTGGTCTTACCAGAGTGTTACAGGCACTAAGCATAGTGCTGAATGGCGCTAATGGCACATTTTGCATTAGAGACCACAAACTCCTCAAAGCAGTATAGTACACGTTGGAAACGAGTGCTCCACTTTGGTATATACGTCTTTATAACGATCTTGTCCTATTATATTTTCTTTTCAGGGCTACCATACCACTCTTCTTCATGATAATGTGCATCTATCTCCTGCCCTTGGTTGCTTCCGGACCAGACTCCAGGTCATATTTTGAAAAGTTTGATCGGGAGATCAGAAACCACTGGTGGGCTTTGTTGCTGCAAGTCAGGAACTTTCGGAAAGAAATCACATTCGTAAGCCCACTGGTTTTCGGAGATCTCGTTTTATTTAAATGAGAGTAACGGAAAAAGTATATCATGACGTTAATATCCTCCTTGTTTTTTTACTAAACTACTACTCATTTGCTAATGAACAAATAATTTTGAAACTGACCACTTTCTAAATGACAACTCTAATTTTCTTTTCTTTATAATTTAGTTGGCAATAAAATCAAATCGCTAAGAAAACCTTTATTAACATGGTTTCTCTGTTTTTAGTTTTATCGCGCAAAAGTAAGAAAAAAATAAGAATATCTTTTTAGGTACACTTCTAAGAGTTATGTCACGTGTGTTCCTTGTTTTATTTCAGTCTATACTACCCCACGTTTGGTACTTGTCTGCCGACTTCCAATTGTTCGTGGTATCCCTGGTTGTTATTTTGATTTTTAGAAGGTACGTGTCTTCGAAAAATGTGAAGAAGTTATTCCACACTTTCAAACGAAACGTATCGCCCAATGATGCTTACGTACCTATTTGCGCATTATAGGTTTATTAGTAAGAAACTTCATCTTACTATGTTACTTTCCTTTCTCAAAACGTCGAGCTAAACTTTTTCCCCACTTAAGCTACACAAAATATGTTTGAACGTATTATGCCTCTCCGGTTGAATTGCGAATTTGTGCCGGCGAATGTCAAATTACCTAAACACAATGAAATATATCTACCATGCTAAAAAGGATCGCACTTCATTTGTGTTTGAATCAACTCTACATTTTTTTTATTTATTTTATTTATTTATTTATCAATACTGTCAGCCTTCTCTCGAAGGCTGACAGTATTGATAAATACTGGCAGCGGCGGTGGTGTTTGATAAAAACAAACACCGCCCTGAACAACACATATATAGATTTCTGCTTCTGCTAACTCCTATACCTATAGACTGTTATGCACAGAAGGTGTAGGAGGAAACTCAAAATACAATAATTTATAACAAATCAGAATATCCAGAAAGCCTGTCCTAGCACAGCATAACTGTGCCCAAAATGTTTCGTGCTTTCTTGAACGGGCAGTATTCTGGCCATACACCAAGTGCATGACATGCGCGCCCTCCGCGGCGGCGAAAGAAATTATGGAGAGTTGCATTAGCGAACCGGCTGTAGCACACAATGGAGGCGACAGAGACCACACAGGCGGGTCTGTGCAACCCAACTTTCATCACTGCGCTACCCCACTGCACTCTCTTTTTCTCTCTTCATAATTTTATTTAATGTCGCATTATTCATGCTTCAGGAGGAAGACGTTTTTCCTTAATGCGTGGCGCGCTTCATGCGTTTTTTCTTCTTTTTGTATTCCTGCAGCGTATTTATTTATTTAATTACTTCACTCTCAAAGCATGGGGGCATTACAAAGGGGAGTGGGAAATAAAACTACAATAATGAAGCACAATAGGAACACCATAAATACGCAAACAGTAATGAACTGATGGTTAGCTATACTAATACAAAAAAGTGTAGTCAACAATTCAAGTTAGTGATGCAGGCAAACTATTCCAATCATTGGAAGGTTTAGGAAAAAGGGATGCGAAAAAATAAAAGCCGTTTACAACTCCCTGTAACGCCGAATTAGAGCGCAGCTCTTGAGGAGGAGGGAAGGGTATTGAGGGTCACGTGTTTTTTTTTTTTGCGGGGGGGATCACGTGACCTTGGGGGAATGGTGTCAAGTGACCTGGTGGTGTGGTCACGTGAGCTGAGGGGTCACGTGACGCCCCAGGATCACGTGACCCCCCAAGGTCACGTGACCCCCCCCCCCCGAAAAAACATGACCCCGCACGTGACCTCGGGGGGTCACGTGACCCCCAGGTCACGTCACACTCCAGAGAAATTTTTTCCGCTAGATTTAGCGGGGAAATTTTTCCGCGAAATTTAGCGGGGAAATATTTCCGCTACATTTAGCGCGGAAATTTTCCGCTAAATTTAGCGGGGAAATTTTTCTGCTAGATTTGGCGGTGAAATTTTTCCGCTAGATTTAGCGGGGAAATTTTTCCGCTAGATTTAGGGGGAAAATTTTTTGCTAGATTTAGCGGAGAAATTTTTACGCTAGACTTAGCGGGGAAATTTTTCCGCTAGATTTAGCGGTGAAATTTTTCCGCTAGATTTAGCAGGGAAATTTTTCCGCTAAATTAAGCGGGGAAATTTTTTCGCTAGATTTAGCGGGGAAAGTTTTCCGCTAGATATAGCGGGAAAATTTACCCATAATGCACCGCGCGGTTACGCCAACGGCGACGGCGACGGCGACGCCGCTCAAGCCGGAAACGGGCGCCTAGGAGCTGCGCTCTAAAATGAATGGGAGTGGAAAAACGGGGCACCGACTTTGCGACAATTCTAAATTCGAGCGGAAGCAAGCGATGGTGGGAGTGTTAACTGTGCAGTGAATTGAGGAATATGGGGGCAGATCGTATAAAACAGACAAATCTGAAAGATGCTGCGGCGGCGTGCAAAATTTAAAAGTAAAAAGCAATTTTTATTGGTGTGACAATCGCAGTGTGATTATAATTGGCTAGTATAAAACGTGCGGACCTGTTCTGAACTGCCTCAAGTGAGTCAGTGAGATCCTAGATGGAGGCTGCACACTCGAGCTTAAATCGCACATTCGTTTTATAGGCAAAAAAAAAAAAGCTCCACTGATTAAGGTCGTAGGTAGACGTTGCGTTAGAGATAGCCAAGTATCCGATTTGCATGGCTAGTCACGTGACACATGCGACTCCAGTGATACACGCGCAACGCACCCACCGCCAGTCGGCGCAGCAACCGCCCGTTGCTGTTTGTGACAGCGCAACGTCCTTTTCGAGGAGGAGCCAATCCGGCACAAGTGACACAATTGGCCCTCTCTTTCTGCCTCAATTTTTAGTTACAACCCGTACACACACACACTATTTACAATTACGAGGCCGCGCATGGAAACCCGGACGCTTGGGTGAGAGTCGCGTGCGTTCCTTCTTGGCAATGTGCGCTCTAATATACCGATAGTTAATGCCGTTGTTCCATCGAAGATTAAATTAAAAAAAAGTTACCCATAGGTATTTGAAACCTTCAACTTTTTGAATAAAACTTCCTTAATAAATTAGGCCAATTGCGACATTTTTTTCGCACGTGCATTTATTGCCGCGCATGTAAATGCAGTGCAGCTTTCAGAAGCATCACCACCCTAGCAAAAAAAAAGAAAAAAGTATGCACGAGAGATGCTGGAGACCTTGGCTATCAAAGAAAATGAAGATACATGCCACAGCGTAACTTCTTTCAACAACAAAAAAAAAACAGTATTTGCAGTGTGTCCCGTCCCGCTGATGTTCACTACAAATGCAAAAAACAGTATTTCTGGTGTGCCAATATCCAGCTGAAGTGCCGGTTTTTCAAAATGGAATTGTACGTGGAATGTATGTGGCCATTATTTAATTTCATTCGATTAAATTTTATGTCATACTTGGTTCATATGGAGTTGAATGGGGCTCTCAGGATGAGAAGAAAAGAAGCAGTATGTTTTGAAGAAGCAGAGGCATTAAACCATAGTTTGTAGTCCACCACTGTTTCTATCTCTGTTTCTTTCTACTATCTCCTGAGTTTTACGTTTTTCGTCTCCCAAGTTCACGCTGGCCCTATCCTCTTAATTTAAACCGTGACCTGTAATACATAAATTTTACATAAATGTTCGTGTATGATTTTAAGTCGTCTTTCTAAATTTCAGGAGCCCGATATGGTCAACATTTATGTTCACGTTGTTGTCAATTATTGGCTGCTCAATATCCGCGTGGCAAGTCGTCAACACTCACCTAACCCCCTTCCTTGTCGCAATGAGTGAGGATCTCTCGTAAGTACCTAAAAACCTCTAACGTCCGAAGATACTTTGTCCACAATAATAAAACGCTCTCCAATGGTAATCTAACTCACCTAATAAAACGAGTCTCGAGCAAGAGTCACTTTAAATCTTGTATGTTAACCCGCTCTTTTAGCTAGTATTTTCCACTCAGCACGAGTTTACATAAATGATATAAAAATTATTATAATTTTTGTATTAAGACTAGCGGCGTTTTACTAGGTTTCTCATGTCACTTCCACGTCTGATACGAAGGACGCAATCAATTTTGCTCTTTTGTTAGCTTTGTGATTTCACGCTTTAGAAGAACTTAGTAAACGCTAGTTACAGAAATTTCTCGTGCAGTTTCTTCCAGGGATAAGTTTGCTTGACCAACTGAAGAGATTTGTTGGTCAACTGGTCTATTTGTAAATTTATTCCATTCTAATTTATAATCTTAACCTCATTCTTCATTTACTTGAATTTTGCTGTGTGCTCAGGAAGTTGGCTAGAAGGCGCCCCTTCGTACGGATTACTAAGAAGCGTCTTTGTAACCTTCGTACCTGCATGCCTTCTGTGTTCCCCCTTTTCTTTTGTGCAAATATGATTTATTGATTAATTGATTGATCCATTGATTGATTGATACATTCATTCATTCATTTAATTTCATTTATCCGCAATATCTCCCGGAAACTTCTCATTAGAAAATATCATTGTACGTAAATTATACTAAGGGACACTAACACAAAAACATAATTTGTGAATCAAAGAACTTGCTTACTACACGGAGAATGGCATACACTAATTCGAGCGCGCATCTTTCTAGCCTGCTATGGTCTAGACTATGCGCTGCGAGTTGATATGTTATACCGCAAGAAAAGCAATATTTCTGAGTTATACAAATGAGTTGTACAGAATGCCCCCCCCCCCCCCAAATGTACTAGGGTTCTCACACTGCAAAATTAAACTACGCGTCACCGGACACTCCTTCTCAGCCCAAAATGCATAAAAATACCAGCCAAGAAAGTTTCAGAACGAACCGCTATATTTCGGATGTTATATATATATATATATATATATATATATATATATATATATATATATATATATATATATATATATATATATATATATATATATATATATATATATATTAGAATATTAGTTAGGAATTGGGCTCATTCTCGGTAACTGGCGCCATTCAGCTCCATGTATTCGGGGACTCAAACGGCCGCCAATTTTCCACTGAAATTTATGAAAAAATCACTTAAAATTATTAATAAGAAGACGGTTCGTTCTCAAAATGCGGTACCTGGTTCAAACCGCAAGCCATACATTTGGGCTGAGAATGAGCTTTCGGCAATACCTCACTTCGTTTCGAGGGAAAAGACTCCCTGTAATTTTCTTTAAATCCTATATACCACTCCAGGTTGTTTGAGAGAGAAACTACCGATACTTTTCCAGAAAGTTGTTGTTCTGTAAGTGGGATGACCCGGGTTATTCAATATGTACCAACTTTAATTAAAAAAAAAACAAAAAAAAATATTGCTAGCTTTGTTTACTCCTTGAGGAATATATCCCTGCATACTGGAGGTACGTACAAGTTTTGTGGAAGAGCGCGGGCTACCTAGGGTGAGCCCGATCCCGTTTGTCCACTGAAATTATTTTATTTAAATACAAATAAATAAATATTTATATTTCATTTGAATGTAATGTTATCTATAAAAACACCATTACTGAATATTTATTTTTAAAGTATTGAGCAAGTGGTTTCTCGAGAGATCGCAGATTTTTTTTATTCACTGGCTTAAATTATTCTTGCTTTTTTTTTTCAGAATTCTCGTTGACACGATGAACGAATACTACGCTCTTCCTTTTTACCATGCCGTCTGTTGTTTCTCGGGCTGCATTACATTTATTTTGGTCGAGAGATTCAGACAATTTCACATGTCAAAGGTAAGAAATTGCCCTACATTTTATAGGAACGTGATATTTGGAGTACATAGACAGAGATATATTTAATCTGAGAAGAAGTGTGCTGCGGACATTGAGCACGCAGCTACCAAATAGTTGCTGAATGGGCCTGATGCTGTGCTGTTGCATTCATAATAAAGCAATTGTATTGTTCAAAATACCGAATCTACCAGCTGCAAAATGAACAACAGGAAAGCAAAACTACATAAATTAATCCAGCAATTTTGCGACCTAAGGTGTATTTAATCAAAGTGTATATAATTGTACTCCTGAAGAAGCTAACAAACAAAGTTACAAGAAAGTGGGTGGAGCATTTCATGTCGGGTTTCGTGCTTTTGGATAAATCTGAAAAACTCATGAGAACACCCGCAAATAAAATTTTAATCAAGTAGAATTTATTCAATAAAATCCGAATTTTGATGTTCCAATGCGCCTGCACCCCAACCCCCCCCCCCCCCCCCCCCCCAAAAAAAAAAGAAGAAAAGGCGTTTTATTTATTTATTTATTTATTTTTTACAATTGAGTTTGATCTGCGCACAGGGTCGATGGTCTTTTAGAAATGCCACCGCAGTTATCTTTCAAATATCGGACCATAGATAAAAGGGGTCTTACCATCTATCTCGTCATGGTTCATTCAGTTCAACAGGTCGATCATTGCACTTTCAAGTCACGACAAAAGACACTGCTTTGGCTTCCACTTTTGGCCATACTTTTGGTGCTCCACGAACCATCACATGTATTTTTCTTTGCGTGTATTTACTGAGTCGTTTAGTTACAGAGTAAACAAATATTAATAACATGCACTGCTCGGTGGAAGCACAGGTACTATATCTTTAAGAGAAACGAATAAGCATGCCCTATTCCCTCTTCTTCTCTTCTACATTGAAATCAAGGACGCTATACCGGTGTCAGGTAGAGAATCATACGATAGCTTATGAAGAGGCACGGTTCGTGTTTAAGCAATATAAGTTTTATTAAAGCAAATGAATCAATTTCACCTAGTGTTCAATTTGCAAGAGTTTAGTTCGTCCTCTAGTACTAAAATTGAATTCTCTGGCCTCCTATGAAATCCTAAAGGATCCCCAGTTAGCCGTGCACAATTGATACAAAATTATGTAGAGAAAATAACATTTAAAATATTTAAATGGAAGCTACGGAGCTTTTTGGAAAAAATGAGTTAGAAGTGAATTCTAGTGTATTTTTACCCCGTGAACCCGAATACCCAAACCATTTGCTGCGTAAGTATTGTTAAACGGGAGAAAAACGCGAAAGACAGTCGCTGTCCGTGACGTCATCGACGGCTCTTTTGGCTGCCCAAGGCTAGGGGGGCGGGGCTTCAGCCCTATTTTGAAATTGCTCTTGTGGCTCTCCGGCGCGTCGCATTGAAATATAATTTTGATATCTGTTATTCTAAAGGCCAAATGAACGCAATTCAAGCGTTTTTTCGCAAATGTAGAAGTGCCCCATCTTCCCTTTAAGGCCCGCGATTGGTAGAGAAGTTGTCAACACATTTTTGGGCTTCTCTTACCTTATTACTTTTATTTAAGCTTGACGTTTGCTACTTGACAATGCTAACATGTGTACTTGAAAGATATGACGCAACCGTGCTTATACATAATCTAGTATTGTTCTGCTGGCCTACAACGCCGACGTCATATTACTAAGTTCACAAACCACTATTAAATAATTTTAGTGGTCAAATGTTTAAACGGGATTTATTTCAAATAAATACGAAGGCACATGCACTCATTGAGTGCCTAAAAAACGCGATAGTTCAGTGCAATTATTACAATGCATCATTAAACTTAATCCTGACCCATTTTCATAAACATAAATTTATGCTCCCGAGTGGCATGGCCTTCCGCGACAAAGCAAGTTGTTCATAAACAACAATCTAGGGGTACCCAGCACGCTATTTTTTTCAGTGTCCAATAAAAATTGCTTTATTGCTCCACCTCTGATCTTTAGTGTTATGATGTGTTTTTTTTTTTTTCGCTTTTAGCCCGAAAATGTCTGTCTACTTTAGATTTGACGGGATATCGTTTAGGAGCTAGTGTGGCAAAAAATCAGGCGTCGGCGTCGGCGTCGGTGGGACAAGAAAATCCGATAATGCAACGCACACAGCCACGTGTGACATCACTCGTGATTGTGACGTCATGACCCTATCGATCCGCTAAATTTGGGAAGACATTTCTCGACAAATTCAGCAGAAATTATCTTGCCCAAATTCGCTGAAATATTTTCTGCCAAATTTACCGACAGAACTATCCCGACAAATTTAGCAGAGAAGTTTCCCGTCAAACCTAGCCGAAAACGTTCCCGTCGAATGTAGTGAAAAATTTTAACGCCACATTTGGCAGAATAATCTTAATAAAAAACATGACGTCATGTGAAATCACGTGACACGTGACGCTACCGACTAGACCACGCATACGCGCTGCACGGCTTGGGAGCAAGCGCGTTTCATAGAGGGCTTCGCGAATGGGTCACCATAAAGCTATCGCGTACCACTCTTAAATGAGAAGCTTAAGCGTCTCACAATTCTTTTTTCTTTTAGATAAGACTTAAGTAGACACTGAACTCCCAAAAACATTTTAATTCTTTGGATTCAACAGGTAATAGCAAAACTAACTTAGACAAGAACAATAGGGCTATACCTTTGTCACGGGATCCAATCGAACGATTCCGAAACATGATAATATGTCGTGGTCATTGTCTGGGAGTAGAAGCATGTTTCGGAATCGCTGATAACTTTAAATTGAGTCTCGCGACGCAAGCATTGATCTATTTTATATTATTTTTGCCTTGGGGGGAGGGGCTTGATCTGTCCTATCTACGTACTTAAATATATTTTCTGGAGTTGAGTGCCCACGTAAGGTAGCGAGGGGTGTGGTTGAGAGAGTGGGTACATGACGCTATTTTATTTCTTCTCAATTTTTGGCACTGAGCTAACTCTCACGATGCTACATTAGTAACTTAACTTCTTCAAAAATACAGTTGAAAAAATTGTTGAGCGGGACAACCTGAATAATGTACTAAAAGATCTAAGAAATGTCTACATTTTTTTACAGGCTGTGCAAGTATGTATGTGGTGTTTTGCGCTGGTGTGCGGTTTCAGCTGCCTGTTTACAAAAGTCTTCTGGTATCGATCAAGAATACCAACCACAGAATTTGGTAAAGTTTGCTTCGCCTTTTTCGACCGCATTCTCTGGTCTGTGTGTGTCGCATGGATCACCTTTGCCTGTTCCACTGGAAGAGGAGGTAAGCAAGCTACTCTGAACATTTCTGCTCTTAACAATGCTCGCTTTTTAGAAGCTAGTTAGAACACAAAGCACACAACCTTGAAAGAATTTTTGTAACGGGTTCATTGCATTTGTTTGAAATACCTATTCTGAACATTTTTAAGATCGAAAACATTTTAAAAAAGTAACACTAGGAATAAAGAAATATTTTGTTGGATAATAACGTTATGAAAACGTTATTATCCGTGCGTGTCAGGGCACGGTTATAAAGAAACAAATAATGGTTTCATTAGATAAAATGCGCTAATTACCTTTTGAGCTATATTCGTAATAATAATAATAATAATAATCTTTATTTTTCGGGTGCCCTAAAATGGCCATGCGGCCTTTTCTTAGGTACACCAACCATACAATAGAAACCCTTATACAATAATACTACTAATTAAAAAAATAGATATGCAAGTACACTGTCGCGCCATGAAGTGACCAAAAGTTCGTCCAACTGACAGCGATATGTAGACAGGGTTGTGGAGATGTCAACTTGAGGTGGCACAATGCTGTTATATGATGTCTGTAAACGAGAGAGAGAGGTGACACAGGGCATGGTGAACAAATATCAAAACAGGTGAACTGTATAGTAGCGCGGAAAGTAACATGAAAATTGATTTTACTAATAAGCCATGACAAATCAATGGAACCATTACTGATCTTATGCAGGAATACCAGGTCACGAACAGTTCTTCTCTGTGATTAAAACTTCAGCAAAGCTTTAGTCAATAAGCACTCATAGTCATAATACACGTGTCGTCCGATCCGTCTATCATAAAGCATTCGAACAAATCTTTTTTGCAAACGTTCTATGATCAAAGCCTGGGTTACAGATATTGAGTTCCGAATCACAGAAGCAAACACAAGCCTTGAAACCACTAAGGAATTAAAAATATGTATTGAACAATGCGGCTTCTTAAAATGCTTGGTCAAACGCGATATAACTCCTAGTTATATCCGCAGTCAATGAACACACCAATATCCCTTACAATTAAGACTCGTTCAATCGGTTTTTCCTCAATATGAGAAGTGTTATCAACGATCGCACGGCGTCTGCACAAAGCTCTCATTTTTTTTAAAAGATTAAAAAATAACAGATTTCGTTTACACCACTTTGCTATATTAGACGCCTCATGCTGTATCAAACCATATTCTAAAGGGGAATGAACACTCTTGAACAACTTGATGTTGTCAGCAAATAAAAGCAGTTCAACGTTCTTTACACATGTCGCTATATCATTTATAAAAATTGAAAACAATAGAGGACCCAAAATTGATCGCTGGGGTACGCCCGATATTGAGAAGAACTCTTTATAATAATTGTCAGCGACCCGAACACAATGCGATCGAAAAGACAGGTAACTCTTAAACCAGTTACACAATTCTTGAAAGACACCATACAGATGTAATTTGCGCAGAAGCAACATGTGGCTCACTTTGTCGAAGGCTTCTGACAAATCAAAATATATTGAATCTACTTGTTGTCTTTTTAAAACAAACGGAACACAGTAATCTAAAAAGGTACACAAATGTGTTTCAACAGACGCACCTTTTAAAAAACTGCGTTGTAAAGGCGTTAATTTTTGACGGAAGTAAAGAGTCATCCTGCTACACATAACAAACTCAAAAACCTTGGAAAAACCACAAAGCAGGGAAACTGGATGCTAGTTCCCAACTATAGATGCGCCACCGCCTTTTAAGATTGGAACTGCTTTTTTTCGAGGGCGAATGGAAAACGCCTGAATTGAGGGACATGTCAAAAATGTGTTTCAAAATAGGAATAAACAGCTCACCACAACCTTTGATAAAAAAGCTTGGTAAACCATCCATGCCAGAAGAAAACTTGGGTTTTAACTTTCTTATCGACTCCGCAATATCTAGAGAGTCCACTCTCATGGAACTAAAAAAATCGTGACAAATCAGCTCCTTATCCCCCGGTTGAACAGATTGCCGATTGTCGGAGAAACATTTGTCAAAATATTCAGCTAAAACATCTGAAACTTCATGAGGTGATGAAACATAACCCGGGGAGTTATCTGAGCAAGCACGTAAGCAGATGATAGGACTAGCCTCACGTGTATATTGCTTCGTGAACTTCCAGAAAGTCTTCGGGCGGCGAAACAAGCTACTTTCTACGCTGTCATGAGGAATGCATTTATCGCGCTTGAACAGTTTCTTCGCCAAGGCCCGATATAAACTGAATTTGGTGTTCATAAGTGAAGACTCGGTCGCATTTTTTTATAAAAACGGTGGAAATGTTCTTTCTTGACCAAATGACATTTTAAATCCCTGAAAAACCATTCAGGATATTTTGATGGCTTTGTTGAACGTTTCTTAGTTGGAATATTTAATCTGAAGATTTGCAGCCCGTTATTAATATACGTAGGCCGGCTAAATAGATAATCTATTTAAATCAATTCTCCGAGTTATCACGTGACATATTTCAACATCTTCGGGGATGCGAAACCGAGACTAAGAGGGCAATTATCTTGAAACGCCCAGAGAACATCATCCCCAAATCGGGACCCGAGTGTTTCTATGCTCCACCTTCGGGGATGGTGATCTTCGGGCGTTTTTCGCGTTCTGTTGTTTTAGTCCTGGATTTCACAATGCCAAAGAAACTGAAATTTGTCATATGGCAGCTCGAAGAAGAATTATTTTTCTAGAATTTAACAAATTTCAAGAATATTTTTATAAGCAAAGAATAACCTTCACTACTTCATCTTACAACCCTAACAACTTTCTAGAATCTAATAACTGTCTCAGGCAGATTCTCAGTAGATAATAAAGTGGCAGTTCCTTAAAATCATGCAATCAAAATCTACCGCCATATCAAAACACGTTGTGAAGAGTGAAACTTGTTAAAAATTACAATCATATCCTGGCAAGCTCGTGTTGGTTTATTTTAGCAATATAAGAAGTGGCTTGTGTCACAGGGATGACTTGTTCTCTCACGATGACTCGGATAGCACAGATATTGTTGTGTTGACGGAGACATGTCTCTTCTCTTATATTGATAGTTCTGAAATGTTTAGTTGTTCAAAGCGTTTTAATGCTTATCGTTTCGAAAGAGGCGAAAAAACTGGTGGCTGTGTACTAATCGCAGTTGCAGAGCACGGTGAATCATTTACCATGCGCCTCACTAGTGCATTGAAAATAACTTGGATTTGTTTACACATGAATCACCAAAAAAGTTATAATGGAAGTATGTTATCGTGCACTACCTAGTAATTCTTCCTTCCTTGCCAAACTGCATGACGTGTTAAACTAATTGTTAGTGTGTTCCCCTCCTCTTCAATAATCCTGCTTCGCAACTTTATTTATTCTAATGTAGTATAGACTGAGCTACATGTCTACAGACGGGCGTTTATGCCAAACGCAGCTGAGTGTATAAACTTGTGTTACGATTTAAATTTTTTTCTCAGTTGCTAGCTCTTCCCATTAGAATCCCGCCCACTAGTCTCAACATTAACGATATTATATGAATTCTTCTTCGTTAAATTCTAGAGTTAGCAACGTGCAGTGTCTTAGTTATGATAAGTTAAAAAATTACTTTATTAATGTCCCAATTGAAAGCAGATCGAAATATTCGGAGAATATAGCTGATTACGGTAAAGGGGACTTTGTAATTATTTACAATGAACTTTTTACTTTTTGCTGATGACACCTTACCTGAATTTTTGTATTTAAAAATCGGGTTCCGCGTCTCACAAATGTCTTAATACCCTTACAAAATATCTCGGGTTTTGCGCAGTTTTCGTGGTTCACAAACACACAAAAAAATTCGTAACAGTAAAAATAAAAAAAAAATTATGAACCGCTCATTTTCCAGAACTCGACGCTAAATGGCGTCATTATCCCGATAACGTTGATACTTACAGAAAAGTTTCTGCAGAAGTGAAAGATACTTATCTTTAAAAACACCTACCCTCCTTGTTAGCAAACAACCAAAGGCACTTCTGGAATATTATTAACTGTTAAAAATCATAATGAAAAGTCCTTAGTATATATGTTTGATCATTTGGGAGGCACAGTGTCTTGTTAGTGACAGCATCGGTTTTTAATCTCGCACTTTTCGATTCATTTTCGGACGCTTCTTCGTCCCCTTTATCGCCATTAAAACATAGTGAAATAATACCTATTACCGTGTTGTATTTGATATTCCTTGAATTATCAGCGTCAATATAAATTTAAAATTATCTTGTTCAGCAAAGGATCGACACTATAAAATCTAAATTCTTAAAAATGCTATACAAAATTCCGACATATTACTTGGGGAAATACTCAAAACTATCATGATCTAGATTCTTTACCCAAAGACTAAAAGGTTGAAAAGGTACTACAGACACAAAAATGCGGCGATAAGCATCGTAATTTTAATTAAACATGTCTAACCAGCGATTTCTGCAAACGTCTAGAACACGTCATAGACTCACATCTTGCCAACTGTCGGGGAATCGAGTCATTTTTGTTCACCTGCGCAACACGGTTTCCGGAAATCATTTGTGTGAAACTCAGCTACTAACATTTATTCACCACCTTTCAATTAATTCTTGATCGTATTTACCAGGCTGATTGCATATTTCTCGGTTTCACCAAGTTTTTTTATAAGGTATCATATGGCCTACTGCTTCATAAGTTAAGCTCACAAAACCTTGAATTGAGTGTAATTTTTGAAGGTGTGCCTTTTTATTTAACCGGTCACAATTTGTATTCGTAAATGATACTTTCTCACCTTTAGTCTTTCTGGTGTTCATTGTCCTTCGAGGTTTTGTACAGGGTCTTCTTTTTATGTACAGGGTGTCAAAAAAAAAATTGCACGGTTTTTTTATTGCTAAAATAAGCTAGGCATCGCCGAAGGATCATTCTCCGCCCCAAAAAAGTGCTAGAGGTAACAACCAGATGCCGAATTTTCAGCTCGATCCGATACCTTACTCAAAAGTTATTACTTATTTTCTAAAAATTTCAATG